CATCTATACTTTGAAGCCATTAAAAAAGTTAGCTTCTGAAAGGTGGAACTGACATTTTAATTTCTGCAGACAACATAAAGTACAAACACCATATCTTCACCTACCAAATCTTGGTCTGGATCCGTCAATTTAGTGAACACCATTAATACAACCTAAAGAGGGACAATGGAACTGAAATTAATAAAAACTGGAGTATTTGCAAGGTAAAACAGTTCAGGCGGTTTTAAACTTGCCTTAACTATTAAATTAAATGTACATTTTCCTTCAAGCATTCTGACGACAGTCAGCATAGAATCAGGATTATTTCAGGCTTGGAATTTTTTTGTCGTTCCTAAGGAAACTCAATTTTTATGAACAACAGAGGTGGATCCATGAGTTATTAAAGAGTGGGGATTCCCGTGTTCATCGAGCGAGACGTCTTAAAGGGTAAACATAAAAGTACGAGCAGTGCATATTTTTAGTGACCCAACAAGTCGAGAACATTACAGAAGAAAAAGCAAGAAAAGAAAGGTAAGGTCTCCCGCCCCTCAAAAAAGAAAGGAGATTTTGAAAAAAAGTGCCAACCTCGCTATGGATCTGCTCCTGCAAATGTTTCAAAATACAGTCAAATACCTCCAATCCTTTGAACTTGCATGAACAATATTAGCATGATACCTCTTACCGCAACCCTGTCCTTTGAATGATCAAAGGATTGCCTTTGGGGGTAGTTTCTTCGACAATATGCTATGTGCAACAGCTGATATGGTGCTGCGCTTATGCACTCAGTCTGCATATAAAAACTCCAGTGTGTGGAGCCACCAAAGCGGTGATTACAGGAGGATTATGAGTGACACTGAAGAAGATATATGATGAGGAATTTTCAGTTTCAGGCGTGGGAAGAAAACACGGATTAATGTTCCAGGGAAAACCCTGAGTCAGTAAGGGCCTGAAAACCCAATCCACACTCTGACCTCAGTGGGATTCTCACCTCCGGTCTCCGGGGTGGAGAACGAGAAAAGCGCTACTGCGCCCCCTTGACTCCTCGGGACATTTGATGAAAGTATGTGTAGACGGCGCATGTCACTCACACCTGCGCAAATACATCATGCTCATTCTCCCCTATTTTATTGTCACGGGAGACACCCGCAGGTTATACAACCTCCAGCATCAACTTCCAATAAATATGGCCTCAAGGTTGTTACCTTGGTTGCTGCAACAACAACAGCATCCGAGTCTGCTGTTAGCTGCTGAGTTGCCAATGCCGCGATAAACTTCAAAACATCAGTCAATACTTCTTTCTCCTCTTCTGTCAGCTTGCCCGGTTTTACATCAATACCGCTGGGGTCAACGCATTCAATCACTTCCTGAAAAGTAAGAAGCAAAGCAAAGCAATACACATGTATATCTTATTTCAAATTGCTGAGAATCGACGTTGTTGAAAAGACAAAGAGCTGCTAGGAAGATTACTGGCTGAACATTTACTTCACTGTATGAACTGGATTATACTGTAGGCTACCTTTTCATCCGAATTCGCTGAATGATATCGATACGTCGTACAAGACTACGAACCATTTTCGACTTTGAACCGCCACACATGCGACCAAGAAACTATGAATTTGATTAATCGTTGAAGTATAAACTCTCTTTGTCAATAATTTCAAGGACTCAGTGAAGTCAAAGCATGTCAGCTGTAAACCTCTGTCCCAGTGATATCACACGTCCTGGAAGTTGGTTTGGATTTTGGCCTGCCACTTCAAGCAGGTACATGTACTAAAATAAATACTTCCTTTGTCCACTGCAGGTTAAAACAATTCGCCTTTATTAATTGCACTAGCTGTTGATAATCCTAACAAAGTCTACATTTGACACTTCTTCAATACCTCACAAATTTTCAAGATGAGACCCCTTAGAGAAGGGCGATTCTTACCTCTAGAGTGTCCACATTTCCTACTGAGCACAACGATGGATCCAGAGTAACAGTGTGTAAGGATTTGGTGTTAAAGGGGCCTCCATCCGTGGACAATTCAACACCTTGTGTGCCAGTGGTCGAGGTTAAAACACTTCCAGAATGCGCTTGAGGAGTTGGGGTGTCTGCAGCGTGTGCAGTTACAGTTCTGTTAACACTTGTGCCAGCCGTATCTGTGATTTTTCCCGGAGTAGGACCAGCTACGGGTGTTGACGGTCCCGCTTCACTTGTGATTGGATCAGGAGTGACTGTTGATAAAGTTATCGGATGCGACTTGTCGACAGAAGTTAAGTAATCACTTGCAAGAATAGGCTCCGAGGAGGATGCACTTGTGGAAGCAATGATGTCATTGGCTTGGCTGCTGGTGGTCGTCATGCCAACCTCGGACGTTGTTGGCAACTGTCTAGTTGTCGATGCTACGGTCACTGTTGCTAAATTTGTTGATCCTAGAGTTGTGGGTGCTAGGTAGAGTCAAATTAATTGATTAACCCAAAGCCTGGCGATGCGTAACAACGTTATAGGTCTATTAACTTTGGAGGATCACACAGTCACTCAAATTTATTTTGATAGCTCTCTAATAAAATTTCATGCTTCTATCCTGCATTTGGTTCAACACTAATTTCCAAAGATCTTGTTCGCTTTTGTTTGTTGGCACCATAGACATCAAACCGACCGCTTTCAAAATGAACTCGTGGGATTATTTTTCTTACCTTCTGGCCCCTCCAATGTCACATTAGCCACTGCAGACCACCAGTTGATGACACACAGATAAACGCCAACATGTTCGCTTTGGAAATCCGGAATATCAAGGGACAAAGTTCCACCCATGTAAGCATCTCGAACATAGGGGATGGAGTCGATCCGTTTGGAGATTGCACTATTCAGCGGCATCCGGTACCATTCCACGCTGTGGACGACATCCACTGCATTGCAGGTTAGACGAACAGCACTGCCAAAAGCTACTGGGGTTGTCTTGTCTGAAATAATGCTGACTGTTCCGTAAAACACTGGAGAAGCAAAATGTACATGTACACCCATTACTCTCATTAAAGGAAATGATAAGATACCACAATGGACGAGAGTCACACTGCACATGAACAATGGGTGCCCTGGAAACTCTTAACAAATTGCCAACAAAGGCTCGCATTGGGGGTGCGGGAACAAAAACATATATTTAATCTAAAAGTCCACTCATTCTGCAACAGTTGAACCGTACAAAACTTTGATTAAATGCGCTTGTATATCTAGTGCTTTGACTTGAAATAAGATAATAAAAAATATCATAAAGAGTTAATTTAAGATGTATCATACAAAATGTTGTACAAATAACTTTTAACTCGTAGTATATGTGGTACTTGACCGATTTTTCCCATTTGGCAGACGTACATTTTTGTCTTTCAAAGTATTTTGACCAAACTCATATCCCGCAGCTAAGGTCAGTTCACTCAAAATAATTCCAGCATCAAGTGTTTCAAAAACGCTTTACCATATCACTCATATCAGTTGAGAGAAACGGCTAAAATGGATTCGTTTACAGCCTCACAAGGATTTGCCTTGTTAACATCATATAAATATGACTGATGCAGGTATAATTCAGATTTGTCCCAAAACACGCATGACTCTCTCTCGGGAGGGCTCAACAATTGACAGAATGAAGAATATTTCTATATTCTTCATTTTGATTCTGTCAATTGTTAGAAAGGTAGGTATTGAAATTTTAGGTTCAAATGTATAGGTTTTCCTAGTCATTCGCATTTCTTTCATTTAAGACTGCTTAAAAGAAAGTTTAATTTCGTCAAGGAGGGGTCACTCGCCTGAAATGCTGATTCCAATTCTGAAATAACACATTTAGATTTCACTTTACAGCACTCTAACTCACGTGAAAAAAACAAACAAAAACACGCCCTGCCTGGAGCAAGACGAAAGCGGACGAAAATACGCCGGTTAATACTTCAGGCGAATGTGAAAGAAGCAAATTTAACGTCATGACAAAGTTGCGGCTAAATTTCGCTCGACTTGATACGTGTTCAACTTATGTGAATTCGTAATGCGAATAATTTTATCTTCCCCTCCGTGCTGTTGCGTTGGAGTGGATTCCCGTGCAATAAAGAGGGTGTCACAAATTTTAGCCTTCGCGCGAAGTAC